ACTCTATCCGGGGTATGATCGACAATTTTTCCGGGCATCTCAACAACCAATCAAAACGAACTTCTGCTATGCTTTGTAAACCTGACCTTAATGTATCGTTTTATGACTTTAAAAAAATTGTCGATCAGTGAAAATCCATCGGGTAGTGGTCTGGTCTAGATAATGTTAAAACATGGAAAAACTTCGGCAAGTGTGACCAGGCGGCGCGTACTTACCTCGCAGTTTCGGCGACATCCACACCTTCCGAAAGGTTATTCTCAGACTGTGGTAACCTATTGGGTCCCAAAAGGACACGCTTGAGCTCCGAATTCTTCACAAGAATTTATAAATAAGTAAAAATTTTATTATAAAAAATACCAATTTTATATATTTGAATAAAAACTGCATGATCCATTCATTTTCGTCGCATGCATGTGAATGATGCATAAATCCCTTTGCTTTTTTCATGAATGACAAAAATTTTGTACGATACTCTTTGTTATAAATCAAAGGAGTCAACATTTACTAAACAAAAAAGAATATCACGAAATCTTACACGAGCAAAGATTATAACATTGGATATTCGTATCATCACGGTGTGGGTGTTGAGAAGAACGAGAAGTTAGCGTTCGAATACTACCAAAAAGCTTCTTTTAAATATGACCACGTACTAGCGAATTTTAGCCTTGGTCATTGTTATCATCATGGGATAGGTGTTGCGATTGATCATGAGAAAGCGTTCGAATTCTACAAGAGATCATTTGACAAAGGATCACCGGAGGGTACGTACATGGTCGGTTATTGTTACTCTCACGGGATCGGAGTCATCAAGAATGCGCAGGATGCTCACAAGTGCTTTCAGATGGCGCTTCTCGTGGTGTAACAGGTCAGTTCGATGTCGGTCGATGTTTTAAGCAAAACACTAAAACAACATCAATAGATGCTACAGAAATAAACGAGGGTTCACAGTTTTGTTTAATAGCTCAAATACATTATAATAATAAGAACTATATAAAGGCGTTCGAGTATTATCAAAAATCAGCAGATACGGGTAGCATTCATGGAATATATAACGTTGGTTATTGTTATAGACATGGAATTGGAGTTGAGAAGGATGAACACAGGGCATTCATTTATTATAAAAAAGCTGCTGATACGACGGGTGATGATAATGGAACATTTATGGTTGGTTGCTTTTATTATGAAGGAACAGGAATCGAGAAGGATGAGAAGAAGGCCTTTGATTATAATAAAAGATCAGCTGATATGGACCATGAACTTGGAACATATATGGTTGGTGTTTGTTATCAATATGGAACAGGAGTCGAAAAGGATGAACAAAAGGCGTTCAAGTATTATAAAAAATCTGCTGATAGTGGTAACGTTAAAGGAACATTTAACGTTGGTAATTGTTATTTTCTTGGAACTGGAGTTAAAAAGGACGAGAATAAAGCGTTCGAATATTATCAAAAATCAGCAGATATGGGCAATGATGTAGGAATATGTATGGTTGGTGAATGTTATCAACATGGAATTGGAGTTGAAAAGGATGAATACAAGGCATTCGAGTATTATCAAAAATCAGCAGATATGGGCAATGATGTAGTAATGATACATGTTGGATATAGTTTTCGAAATGGTATTGGAGTTCAAATAGATATTGAAAGAGCGAATTATTGGTTTAAAAAAGAAAAAGATAAAATTCATGAGATTGTTGGGTCAGAATACAAAGGTCTTGATATTGACGAAGAGTTGAAAAAATTATTAAACAACGATAAATACAAGTTAACTTGGATCCGTTACGAATTTAAAAACGTTAAATTGATAGGAAGAGGTGGTTTTGCAACTGTGTTTAGCGCAATATGGGAAAGAAGTACTAAGGGAAATTTCATAACTCTTTCCATAAAAACAGAAACTATCGCACTTAAGGAATTTACCGGGAATGATTGGTTGAATGAGGTGAAAGCGTATTGCGAGATCGGAGTCAATAATCCTTCGTTCATGAAATGTCACGGGATATCGAGAAACAACGAAGGTAAATACGTTCTTGTGTTAAAATACGCAACATCAGGTTCTCTACAAAGTAATCTCAAATCTATGTTTAAGATATCATGGAAGGATAAATTAAGTTTACTGCTCAGTATATGCTACGATCTGAGATCGATCCACTCTCAAGGAATCGTACATAGAGACCTTCATAGTGGCAATATATTGCAGGATGATCTTAATAGCGCGTACATTGCGGACTTGGGTCTCTCGATGCAATACATGAAACAAGATGGTCAGGTTTACGGTATATTACCGTATGTTGCTCCCAAGGTTTTGAACAAACAATCATATACAATAGAGTCCGATGTTTATTCCTTTGGTATGATTATGTGGGAAGTATTACATGGCGTACAAATATTGTATTGTTATAAATCAATCCAACCATATCAGATAGTACTTGATGAGTTTCGTCCGATTGTTATCGAGAATGCACCACGATGTTACGTGGATGTGATGAAAAGATGCTGGAGTCAAGACCCGGATAAACGCCCACTCTTTGTGAATTATTCAGAAACTGGCAACACGGCGAACAAATCCTAAAAGAATTGAACGAATACGTTCCGTTTGAATCTATACAATTTTATAATGATTTAATCAAATCGTATTATGACGAAGAAATTCCCGAAAATATATCAGGCTCAGATGAGTTGAGTGAAATTTTAAAAAAATATTCATCTAGATTTTCCGAATTAAACCGATCGCAACCGATAAATATCGACTATGAATATAAAGATGAGGATTTAGATTTGCAAATATTATGATAAATTTTATTTACGTTTTTTTATGAATTATGCATGAGCGAAATGTGCTTTGTAATTTTTGACATGAAATTGAGATTATAAGATATAATAAAAGAAATAATAAATTCTTTTTTTTGTCGCTTCAGTTACTTGTTACATAGTATGTTTTGTGATTTGTTGTAAACACTTCAATCCGTTCAATCCATACGGATTGTCGATCATCTATACGGATTCATGTGATATCCGCTTAGTTATGCGGATTGCAAATCAATCCGTATGGATAATTGTCTAACTTTAACAGATCAACCGCCTATACTAGATATATTGTAAAAGTCGAAACGAACTACGGTAAATAAATTCTTAGCAAACGAATATATTTAAAAAAAATCAAATCATAGATAAAAAACTTTATTAATTTTGTAGATATATGAAAATGGGCTAGGGAGAGCTAAGTAAAAAACTTAAGAGTAGCGGACATTTAAAGGGAGGAATTTCTCGAGCCCTAACCCATAAAATAAGAATTCCTTCCCACTACTCCGTATTATTAGCTAAGTTAAAATTATTTTTGCTATCGATCCAAGCACCTATTTTATTTAAAGTACTACCTCTAAAATCTCCATTATTATAATAAAAATTTTTTATAGTTTCCTTATTAATCTTTTTCATCCTAAGACTACAAATCTTAACAGACACCATATTATACATATCATTTAAAGAATAATTATTGTCTGTCATAATCTTATTAAAAAAAATTTTAAAATGATTTCTGGTTGTTGAGGTAATATCAGAAAAAGATATTTGCTTGAGTTACTAGAAGAACCCAGAGAAGAACCAGAAAATCTAGAAGAAGAACCAGAAGATCTTCAGGAAAAATTAGACATAGGTACAGATGAGTCAACAAATTGTTCAGATATTAATAGTAATACAGAACCTGTCTCAGTTAAATGGTTCAACTAGTCACAAAGAGATTTATAATTGGTGGTGATTTCATTAATAGTTTCAATTACAGTATTTACTATTGTTAGGATTCTTTGTCTCTTGACCACAATTGTGGCATCTTATAATATAAGCTTTACAGTTAATCTTTTCATACATATGTTGAGTTTTACAGTAAGTTGCTATCTAATGACATATATAACAGAACACATGGTAACAAAAATCAGATGGACAGGAATTTTCTCAGTAAATATCATTATTAATACAAAAACCAAAAATGATATAATTTCTAAAACATTGATCAAAGACATCTATAACAAAAAAAAAGATTATTAGTATAGATACATGAGTGCAGAGGTAATGTACAAACAAATTAATTAGACTATTGTGATACTGACATCTTATTTTTGAAAAAATTACAGATATATTGTTTTGTTTTTAGAAGAATTAGTCAGAGGCTAGCAAATGCATAATTTTTTTATTGGTTATTGCAATTTATTACTAAAGGCAATTACAAAGTGGTTAGAATGACTTATTATTTTATTAGCTATGCCCCTTTGGAGATATTATTACAAAAAAAATAGTAGAGAGTATACTAAAGATTTTTAGATCCTTTTTATACAAGATTAAGATTTCACATCTTAGAATTTGATTTGTTGTCTCTGTTAATAAAGGCCAAAATATATTGAAAAAAATATTAATCATGTAATAATTATGTTATTATTGATTTATCATCAAAAACATAGGCGTAATTCTGATTTTAAAAATAGAGACCTGGATCTAAAACTTAAAAATACACAGTTTGGGTAATATTGAGTAAGATAAGTGATATTTATTAGCTAAAGGGTTGCTTATGTTAAAGCTAGTATATCTGAAGAATATTTACAATTATAACACTAACTATTACATTAAGATTCTATCAATATATATATATATATAGATTTTTATATAATTAATAACTAATTTCTGAAATAACATTAGGGTAATATGTAATTTTATTTAACATTGGACTTTCATATTGCTACTCAATTTTTGGTTAAATATTAGATATAATTTTATTATTTTAAATATATTTAGTGATAAAGTTATATATAATCGATTATTGACAAATTTATTCTATTTTATTAGTAAAAGTAGCAAGACTAACATATCATTTCTTATATTATAAAAACTTCGATATATAGACCAAGTACTATATATATGTTACTGAGAATATGCTAAAAAGTTTGAGCAAAAATATGATAAGTTTGAGTATTATTTTATAGTAATTAATCGATTTATCCAAGACATACATAATATCACTACTATATGTGATTTAATAGATTATGACCTAGATTAAGATTTGTTCATATATTGAACCTTGTCTGACATTTTACAAAAAATTTGATTTACTATTATAGATTAATTACATGAATCTAATATATCAATCTATTACAAGGCAGGTATTAGGCAATGAATCAAAAATTCAAGACTCTGTCTTTTCTTTGAATCATAGCTCTTCGAATCTACATGTAGTATCAGCCTCTGAGGCCTATTATTGCTTTGCAATAGACTTTAACCTATAATGTAACATAATTTAATTTTGTAATTAAAATTTAGACTAATTGATTTTTATATAATATATTTCTATTATTTGTAATTAAAGCATATGTTTAAATGCGAAGTCAATCAAAAAGTCAACTAAAAAAAATATATATAGCAAATGGTTAGATTGCTTTCTTCTCTCTACATTAAATAAATAAAATTTGTTAAATATCTATTTATATTTTTTTCTAATATATATAGGTTCAAAGAGCCTTTTTTTTTTTTTTTTTTTTTTTTTTTTTTTTAATTATCGGCAGCTTTGCTAGTATCTTTATTAGATCAAAACATATATATACATATATTTAACTATCTAAACTATAGATCTGACATTTCCTAGCTACCTCTATAAATGCCCAAGGATGGTCTGCCTCATCGGTTAAGGCTAATACCTGTACCAGAAGGCTGCACCAAGCTAGCCATTGAAGCTATACCAAAATGGTTTCACACTATTTACAATAAAGTTTTTAACTGCAGCAAACCAAGTATTTTCTTTTCTGTCAGCTTCCTTCTCTTTAATAATTTCTTCTTTTTTTTCACCTTTCCTTTAGTTTGCTCTTGGCTCTGACTATATTCTCCACGATTCATGTTTAACTCATTTCTGCTAGTATCTGTTTTTCTAACTTTGGGTCTCTTTTCTTTCTTCTTTTTTGAGTTTATCTCATTTTTCTTTTCCCAATCATTAAAGAATGCATATCTTTGTTTCCAGATGTTTTCATAAAAGTAATTACAGGCTGAATTGACTGCCATGTCGAGATAACTTCTGGCTTCTTTTAGAGATCTCACTAATTCGAGAATTTTCTTTGCGATTCCATCTTTAATCAGTTCTTTAAGAATGCCTGCTCTTGTCTCATTTTTTTCTTTTTTCATTGAACCCAAAGACAGCTTTTAAGTGAGCCTTACTAAGATGACTGCAGGTTTCTTCTGAGAGAGCTGTCCAAGCCAAGCTCGATACTAGCTGCTCTGCTTCTATTCACTTGATTTCGTATTTCTTGTATGAAGTTAAATGTTCTTGATCTTCTTCTCCACCTTTTGCACATAATTTACAAATTGGGCTATAATATAGGTCTGGTCTTCTAGTTACCAAGGTTTTAAAGACTGGAAGTCTTTTATGTAAGTATTTGACTAGCACTCCCAAACATTTATTCTTTCTTGTGCTTATACATCTAACTCCATTTTGATTTCTAATCTTTTTCTATAAAATAGACCAATATTAGCATTATCCCTCGTTATCAGGTTCTACTTTTGTAATTGCTGATGTGGATTTCTATTTTACCCCTATTTTGAGCTCAAGTGTTAGTTGTAAAAATTCTCTCGTAGGAGCTTCTACTATTGCTTCTTCCCAGCATAAAGAGACATTCGATTCTTGTGGAGGTTTATCTATAATTCTTTCTTTATCTACTATTTTAGATCTCATCTTTGCTAGTTTATTTGCTATATTGTCCACCTATTTCTACTATATCCTTTTACCTTTCTAATTCTAGCTGTAATTCTTTCATTTTTGCTATATCTATAATATATTTTATCAAGTCATAATTCCCTACTCTTAGCCTTTGTCTAGCCGGTTTATTTTAATTTCTACTTTCTAATCTAGCTAAAGCTGCTGCACTATCTGTATAAATTTTTACTTCTTTTCTTCTTGGTGTAACTAAGAGTGCACACCAGATTCCCAGTAACTCCGCTTTAGTTAAAGATGGCCAGTTTTTTGCTCCAATGTATTCTTCATCAATGACTTCCTCTTTTTCTTCATCTATGAGTATCTAGCTTGCTCCTATTTTATCTGCCTCTGTTTAAGTTATTTTTCTATTTTTTCTTAAAGAACCATTAGTATAGAAAGTAAACTGAGACAAAATGCTACATTGAAGTTTTTGGTTCTTCTCTATTAGGTAATTCTGTAAGGCTAGGCTGATTCGTTGGTTTCTAATGATCTCTATATCTAAATCATAGATCTGGATATCTTGCAATATTTTCTCATTTATAGAAATCTGAAGCTTATTATAAGTTACCAGGGAGAACAGCATTTTGTGATGAACTTTAAGGGCCTTCCCTTTCTGTTTGT